GAGAACACTTTGCATGAAACAAAGAAAAGAACACTACATACAACAATAAGCCGTAAAAAAAAGAAAAGGTCAATGACTAAATTGCAAGACGATGAGCAAGCTTTAAACGAATAGATTCAATAGTTGAAGAATCATCAGTCATTGGTAATGATGAATTAGTAAAAGGTGTATTCGATGTTGATGAAATAGATGATGCAAATGAAGATGACTGTTGCTGTTGTTGTTGTTGTTGAGAAACATTTTTTTTAACATCTAAATAAAAATTTTTGTCTATTATTTATCTTTAAATATGTTAATCTCTAGTGATCATCATATGTTGAATATGAAGAATTAATATTTTGTTCTCTAGAGAAAAAGATAGAAAATCACCGAAAGATAATTATCATGGGAAATATTTACAAGGAAGAAAAAAAAAAAAAACGTCATTTTCTTTTTATTTCTTACATGAAGAGTTTGTATTAGAAAATAATGATGAAATAAATGATACATTTGTACGATTTGTTGTTGTTGTTGTTGAAATATTATTTGTATTCATAGGAATATTATCATTTATTTGTTGTCGTTGTTTATTTAAACGATCTTTATTTGTTAAAAAAAGTGTTTGAATTTCTTCACATAATTTTTTAAAACGTCGAGCTTGTCCTTTAACAAAAAAAAAAAAAAAACAAATTAATAATTTAATATTTAAACGGTATTGTAGATTTTCTTTTTTAATGTTCTTACCAGTTATAAGAGTAAATGTAACATAATAAGTATCAGGTAATAATAAATCATTTGATTTAACTGTACAAATTTCAACATGAAAACGTATATTACGTTGAAACATAGATGAACGATCAGCTCGTCGATATTCACATCGATATTGTGTACTTGATAAAACATTATGCACAAGATCTGGAGTCTTTTATAATAAATAAAAATAAAAAAATTAAAATTAAAATTTAGAATTTTTATATATATATACAGATAAAAATGCATGAATAAGATCTGTTCTAATTATTGATAATGGTCGATCTTTAACAACAATCATATGATGATCTTCTTGCATAGCATCAATAATATGATGAAATAAAGATTTTTTTGTTGCTTCAGGTGTTGTACCATATTGTGATGATGAATTTGATGTTGTTGTACTATCACTTTCAGCTACTATACAAAAAGAAAAAAAGAAGAAGAATTTACAAAAAAAAAAAATTAATTAATTTACATAAAATTTTTGGTCGTCGATGAAATCTTGGTGTACCAACATTTTGAAAACTTTGTTTTAAATTATTTAATTTATGTCTCCATTGATTATTATTTGATGATGGTGTAATAATTGTATTTGTATTTGTATTTGATGATATTGTTGTTGATGATGTTTCCATATTCATTGATTCTGATGTTATTGTTGGTATTTGTTGTTGTTGATTTCGTCGTGTTATTTGATGTATTATTGTACCATTATTAATTATATTCGAATCTTTATATGTTTGTTCATTAATACTATTTGATGCTATTGATTGTGTTGATGGTGGTGTTGTAAGAATATTATCATTTTGTGAAACAGTTGATGTATTACGATGATGACGATGTATATGATGTTGTATTGATGGTGGTGTTTGATTAGATGTTATAGGATTTTCAATAGGATTTTTACCACTTGTAAATACTGTTATTTTAGAAAAAACATCTTTTTTTGTTATTGTTGGTGATGAAGATGGACTAACAGATGGTGTATTATTAGCTGAGATTGTTTTATTACTAAATAGATAGATTATTGTTTTGTGTCATATAGAAAAAGTCAAAAAGAATAATTTCTTTTTTTTACCTAATATTTGTATAGAGTTGTCGTCGTGATACTAATGGTGAACCTTCTGTTAATTGTCCAACTAGACCAGATCGATTTGAATTAGGACTTTGTACATCATTTGAACGTTGACGATCTATACGTTTTTGTGGAAAATCCGCTATAAATAATATACACACACAAAAATGTCTTTTTCTTTTTTGTATTTTTTAATTTTTTTACGTGAACCAGAACGACTTCGTTGTTTAGTTTCATCAGGATCTTCATGACTTGGTTGTCGTAATTTACGATCAAGTAATAGAAAATAAATAACTTTTTCTGTATTATGTCTATAAAAGAAAACTTTATTATTAAAGATTCTTTTTTGTTTTTGGTTTAATATTTTTTCTACTTGGAATTTAATAATGCTTCAATTAAACGTTGTCGATCTTTAAAACAACCAAGTGATGCCATTGCTGCAAATACATCTGCATCAACATCTTCTTCTTTTGGAATAATTGTTGTCTATAAATAAAATTTAATTAAAATATTTTTTTTGTTTTTCTCATTTTAATACATACTTGAATAACTTGTGCCATTGGTAATTCAAGTTCAAGATCAGTTTTTGAACCTCTACATAAAAAAAAAAACAAAATCAAAGATAACAATATTAAACATTATGAATAGAAAGAAACAATATATATATATATAACAATTATAACTAACAATATAAAGCAGAATAATGGAACGTGCATATTCTCTTGTTTTTTTTTTTTTTGTTGTTTCTAATAAATAAACAAAACAACAAATGAACATAGATGATGATGAGTTCTATTTATATTTTTTCAATTTAATACATCACTCGAATGAACTGAGACGACATAGATATACAATAATAATTGGCATATATTTGCCATTTACGTACTGTGTTACCCATGGATGTCGACTGACATCTTCTAACTGTAATCAGTGTAAAAATAAAATTTTATTATTTTGAAAAAAACATAAATAAATACGAAAACAAAAAAAAACTATATATAATATAGTCAGCAAAAAGCAAAAGTGCAATATAATAAAATGAAATTTAAAATTTACCGTTAATCGTTTATTTGGATCAACTTCAATCATTCCACGTAATAATTGTTGACAATCTGCTGGTACAAAATGTGGAATATGAAAAATACCTTTTTTAACTTTTTCAAGTAATTGTCGAAGATTATCATCATCGAATGGTAATGCACCCTAATATAAAATAATATATAAATCATTATGTGATACAATTAGAGCGACAAAGAAAAAAAAAAAACAACAAAAGCTTTTATTTTATCTTAAAGTCCTACATACCACAAGTAATGCATAAAGAATAACACCACATGACCAAACATCAGCTTTTCGTCCGTCATATTTTTCACCCTAGATTTAATAAAGATTGATCATATGAAATAACATCAGATTTGTTTGGTTTTTTTACTTTGATCACTTCAGGACAAGCTTGAAGAAAAAAAAAAAACATTTAGATTTCTATTAGTAAATTGTTTTTTTTTTTTGTATTCTTACCATAATGTGGTGAACCACAACTTGTTTCAAGAAAACCACCTTCAACTTGTAATGATGCCATACCAAAATCTGCAACACGAATATTCATTTTATCATCAAGTAATAAATTTTCGGGTCTAAAAGAACAATAATAAAAAATGATTTCGTTTTGTTTTTTTTTTTTTCATCTCACTTCAGATCACGATGACTAGAAAAAAAATAAATAAATAAAATAAAAGAGGAGAAAAGACGTTATTTTATACATACCAAACCATATGACAATGACAAAAATCAAGTGCTGATATAATTTGTCGAAAAAATTTTCTTGCTTCTTTTGGTGTTAAACGACTTTTTCGTACAAGATAATCAAAAAGTTCACCACCAGCAACATGTTCAAGTATAAGATATAAATATTTTCGACTTTCATAAACATCATATAAACGTAATACATGTGGATGTTCAATTAATTTCATAATAGCTATTTCTCGTTCAACCTTTAAAAATAATTGAAATTTTTTGTTTTTTTTGTATAAATTTTAAATTAAAATATTTTTCTATGATTTACTTTTAATAAAACTGATTCTGACAATGCTTCACGATTGACTATTTTTATAGCAACTTTTTCTCCTGTTATATAATGAACACCTAATTTGACAAGTCCTATATGGTTAATCAAAAAAAAAAATAATTGTATTAGTTTAATAATCAATGCAATTAAAAAAACAAATCACGCAAACTTAAATTCATGTACCTGTTTGACCTTTGCCTAATGTTTTCTGTAGAATATATGGTCCAACATATTGTGATGTACGTGGTACTGCCGTAGCAGATGTTTTAGCATTGAATGACATTGCTTGAAATAAAAAAGAATAATGAGTTTTGATCGATCAATCATAAGTAAATAAACAAACTTACATATTGATTGAACGAATAAAAAAAAAAAAAAGAAAGAAAGACCTATCAGCTATGAAACATTATTTTCGTTAAACCACCAATAATCAACTCATATATAATAAATGTCATCAAAATATATTTTCCTTAATCATTCAAACAAGATAATAATTTACTTTTGGAAGTCATGGTAAATTCTGGATAGATAATCAACCATAATCGTTACATATTTTTATATAAATGCATAAAACAATTAAATTAATACATTGAGAAAAGAAAAACTATAAAATTTTTTATATATAAATTTTTCTTTCTACTTTAAAAATACTTTTAATATAGAAAAATAAATCTATTCAATTTAGATTTTTTTTTTTAGTTAATATTTTTACTTTGAATAACCTCTTTCACGATGCTAGTTTGACTTTTGCTAAGCACCGAAATTCTTTCCGATATTCACATTCATTTGTCTCTCTTTTTCTTGTTCGTTCTTTCAATACACATTTATTTCTTTGCTATACAGGTCACCTATTCATCGTTTATTTCTTTTTATTAACCTACCAATTGGTAACATCGTCTATTTACACACTCATTTGGTTACACTAACAAACCATTATTAATCACAGTAAGTAACACAAAAAAAAGGAACTGAACTGATGAAAAACTTTACTTGTTATTCGCTTTTAAAAATGAAAAAAAGTCTTCTATGATTATTTTACCGGATCCTGATCAGTTACCTTTTTGTTTCTATTATTTTTTTAAAGATGCAATTCTGGAATTTGTGACAAAATATTTTTAATCAAAGAATATGGTGCTCGATTTTGAATACGGTATTAATACAGGAAATCGTTTCCTTGATTTAGTTGATCATGATGAAGATCCTGATGAATTTATTGCTAACCAAACACACTCAGAAGAAAAACCAAAAAAATCTTCAAAAGAAAGTAAATCAGTAAAAAATAAAGCAACTAATAAAACAACAGCACCAACACCTAGTGCTACTTTAACTACAAAACCTGCTAGTGCTAATGTAGCAAAAACAAATAAAGAAAATTTAACTGGTAAATCAATAAATACTGATCAACGACGACAACAACAACAACAACAATCTAATGTTTTGAATGATAATAACAATCAACAAATACGTGTTGATAGTGGTCGAGGTTAAAGAGTTTCTTTTATTAATATTTATCTATTTATATAATATTCAGGTGGTCGTGGCTATTCAAGACGAGGTGGTAGTGCTGGTCAAGATCGACCTCCATATGAAGGTAGCAATCGTGGTGGTGGTGGTGGTGGTGGTGGTCAACAACGTTCACAACGTTTTTATAAATTTGATAGACAAGAAAACAAACATGAAACAAGTGGTTTTGAACAAAATGTTGCAACATGGGATAATGTAACAGGACCTGATAATCAAACTTTTAGTGGTTATCGTGGTCGCGGTCGAGGTGGACCACGACGTGGAAATTTTGAAAGAGGTCGAGATAGTGGCCGAGGTCGTGGTCGTTTTGGACGTGGACGTGGTAATTTTAATAATCGAAATTTTGAAGAAGGTTCACAAGAACAACAACAAACACAAGATAGAAGTGAAATGCAACAAACTATCGAGTATGTAGAATTTATAATTAGTGAAGAAAATTTTTATATCTTAATTCACACGATGAATTTTTTTAATATTTCAAAAAATTTCTATAGATCAAGTTTTGAAAATACACATCCTCAATCAACTAGAACAGTTGGTCAAGAATTTGATACAGATGTATCAGGACAAGAACTACGAATAGAACCAGAAAATGTACGACGCGGTGGTGGTCGTGGTTCTTATCGTTCTCGAGTATTTCGTCATAATCGTAATTATGCTGATGATCGTCAAAATCATTATGAACGTGAAGGTGGTGAAGAAGGTGGTCGTGATAATTATCGATATAATCGTCGTCAACATGATCGTCAACCACGTTCATATGTTTCGTAAGTTAAAAAATAAAAATCATATCTGAGACATATGTTGTTTTTGTTTTTCATAGAAGTGTTAAACCTGTTGAGAAAAGAGATGGCGAAGGTGCACATAATTGGGGTAATCAAACTGAAATTCCGGCAGATGATCAAATATTGAAGTAAGATTTATTATTATTATTTATTTAATATGACATAAAATAAAAATATTGGTTATTTATTTATTTTTCTTTTAGTGATATACCTGATACAACAGATCAAACTGCAACAGCAGCAGCGGCAGCAGCAGCATCAAAAGGTTGGGCACAACAAGTTGATGAAGCTGAAAAACAAATGACATTGGATGAATATAAAAAACAATTAGAAGCTAAAAAACAGGCACATCACGAAAAGGTTCCACAATTTAATAGACGTGCTCCAAATGAAGGTGTAGATCCAAAAGAATGGCAAAAATTTGAACAAAAATATCGAAAAAAGAATGATGATGAAGAATCAAATGATGAAGAAAATGAAGAAGGAAGTGGTGATGAAGGTAATATTTAAAATAATAATAAAAAAAAAAAGAAACTAATTAAAAACATTAAATAAAATAATTTATTAATTAGAAAATGAAAGTGAAGAAGATATTGAAGAAGAAAATATAAGTGGAAAGAAAAAAATTATTACAATTCCACTTCGTTTTAAACCAATTGAATTTCCACGTGGTTCAAGAGGTGGACTACGTCGTGGTACTAGTCGTTATCAAGATCGACCATATAGAGATGATCAACGAAGATGTAATATATAATTTTAATAAAATTATTATTATAAGAATTTATTTTTCTTTACAGCTAAGTCACCAAGTCAACAACAATTACCATCGTCTCAACAGACCGGTGAATATCATAATGATGAACAACCAAGATCATATCATGGCGGTTCAAGTAAGTAGTTTTCTAATTCTTAATCAAAATGTACCATCAATAGGCTTTGCGAAAATACTTTAATTCCTTACAAAAAGCTTTGTTTCTATGTAGAACGGAGTAAAAAATAAATGCTCTGTTATATCATTCTTCAACTAATATCATAATAATAAAATGTCAATAAGATCTATTTAGTTATGATGTGTGACGGTTACATTAGTTCATATTATCTTCTCTTCGTTCTTGATTCTTCCGTTTCCTCTAATGCATCGCTGTCTATATATATATTAGTCTACACAAAAAGTAATTGCAACGAACTGAAACAAGCTAAAAAAAAACAAAAGCAAATAACTCATGCTTTGCCTTCAATTTCTTATCGACCTTTACGAACAGAACATAATTCATCATGAATAATTCTTGCGTGCATATATTAAGTACAATGTGTACTTTAATATAGAAACCAAAAAAAAAAAAGTTCTCTTTTTAAACTAAAACAACGATGAATAATGTTTGTTTAACTTTCTTGACAACATACTACTAACTACGGATAATAATAAGATATGCATCTTTTTTTAGATAATATCAGTTTTTCTCATTCAAAAGAGGAGATTTAGTACGATTGGATCATTCCGTATGTATAGACAGTTAAGAATAAGACAATACGAACACTAACATAATCGTCATATATTATAAACAAATAGTTCTTATTGAAATTTATTATTATGATATTAGTTTAAGAGTGTAATATTATAGAGAATTAAAATACCTTCAACACTACACTTTTGATATATCCATATATATATAAATGTATAAATCTATTAGGACAAGGATCTGGTCGTGGAGAATTTCGTCGAATATTTAGAAATTCTACACGCGGTGGTGGTGGTGGTCATAATCGATTAAATACAGATTCAAATACACCTGATCTTGCAAATGCCGCTGATTTTCCTACTCTTCCAAAACAATAAAAAAAAATTAAACACAATGAATTCTATTTGTTTGCACTAAATCATTTGGACATTGGGGTTTTTCTTTAATATTATCCAACTAACAACAACAAAAAAAAAAAAAACAAAGCGTGCCGCACATAATCTAGAACAGTTTTGTTTGAGTTGTGTTATCATTTCTTTTTTTGTTTTTCTTATGTGTGTGATGTTTGAGAGCCTGGTGAATGAATTGATTCGTATATATAGAAAACAAAAAAATAAAACAAACACATACATTGCCTTCTTTTTGTTAAGATATTAATCTAAGAGTGTGTTTTTTTTTCATAGGCATTTCACTCGTCTTTTCTTCTTCTTCTGTTTCTTTTTTTTGCTGTTGTTATTATTATTATTGTTGTTGTATTGCACTTATGCAAATGCGACTTCTTTATTCTTTGTTGTTTTTCTTCTCGTTTATTGTTTCGACAAAAAAAAACCATACACATGCATTATTGCTATTAATGTAGCAAATTTTTGTTTGTTTTTTTTTTTTTCTTTTTTGTTTTTATACGGTTTGTTTTGTCTTGACACATATTATAAATCATTAACTCATGCATATGAAAACTAAGATGGATTTTCATTTTTCTTTTTTCTTCATATTCAATTGTTTTTCTTCATCACCTTCTCCCCTCCTCTCATGTTCATCACAGATGTATTTCCTAACTTTCGTTTTCTTGGTTTGTTTGCTACTACTGTGTGTGTGTGTTTGTTTGTTGCTGCTGTTCTTTTTTCTTTTTTTTTAATTAAATATAAAAAAGCAAATATGTTTATATTTTTCATACGTAATTGGCCTGTGATGATTTAAAATACTAATCAAGCTCAACAGTCAAGAATCATATGATGTTGAGAAGGTATTAAAACTGAGGCTAACAAAAAAAATAATATTAAGCTTTATGGATAATTTATTATATTGAAATGTTTTTTTTTGGGAGCATTTCTTTAATTTTAGGTTGAAGAATAATTTGTGTACAAAAAAAAAGTGTAACATATAAAGAAAAATAAGTCTGGAAATGTTACTCTTGATATTTGTGTTCAATGAAAGATAATTCACTATTTTGTTGACCTCTCTGTAATGCTTAATATGATATATAAGTTTCCTGGACAATGAATCATTGATAATAAACTGTTCGAACATCTATGAATAAGTACATTTCTCGTTCTGACAACCTAAGCTGATAATCGCCATACTTAGTATTACCGTTGGTGAATAGAACGCATCGGATTTGTTTTGAACGCGAAGGACTCTAGTTATTTGAGAAATATGTAAAACCCATTAGTTATTCAATAAAAAAAAACGTCAAAAAGTATCTTGTATCTTCAGAGTGATTATCCCATTCCGATCAAAAAAATTTCATTGAGAATATCAAAGTACGGTACGACCGAATCCAAGTCCGACGCGTTTTTTTTACTAGTAAATATTTAAGTTTGTAAATCAATGACTTTTTTTCTTTTATGACTAGCCGAATAAGAAGAATGAATTAAATTGCTATTGACATACGATAGCTACTATCTGTAAGTAAATATTTAAACAAAATAGACATAAGAAAGACGTCACAGTGATCTAAAAAAGAAAAAGAATTTTCGAGATAAGATAAATGTCACATGTATAAAAATGATTTATCAGTTCTACTTATTAATTTCAAAAATAGGATTGATCTCTTTTATTGCGTAAAAAAAAACCATCGAAACTGCAAAAACAAATAAAACTAAAATTTCAACCTGAGCATTTGAAATCAAAGGACTAAACTATTTGTCAATTATAAACTTCTATCTAGTGTTTTGTTCTTTCTTCTTCTTCCTGTTTCCTGAATTATTTCAGAATATAATAAATGATTCCATATGAGAAAAAAAAAATTTTGTTCTTGATAATTTTATCAAAAATTTTAGGTTTATCATGAAATGCATTATAAACAAGAGAACGAAAAGAAATAACCCTGTACTTTAAGGGCATGTCAAAGCTATTTTCTAGAACTTCTTAGTTTTTTTATATTGACTGTTAACATATCTCATGAATGCAATGAAGTATTTGACCTTTATTCTCAGATAGATTTATAAAATGACCTTAAACTAATATATATTAATGATACATATTGATACTGAATTTGAAATAATTAAAAATTTCAAGAGAATAATTTCGACATATGCTTAGTGTATGAACTTTTCTCTTTCGTTTCTATTGATCATGATTTATTAAAATACATTATTATAGATAAAATATTTTGTTCAAGTTATTATCATTTATCTAAAATAACTTATGAAAAGATTTCGAAATTTTTGTAACATTTAAAGATTTTCTTTTCTCATTTAATTATTAATTCAAAAAACTTATAAAAGATAAAACGAAATTTTTCATTTTGCAAAAATAAATATTAGTAAGTTTGGTTGAGCAAAAAATGTTTCTATTACTTACCATTTACGTTAGCTATCTCATATTTATGACAAGGGTCGAGAATTTTGTTGTCAAATGCATTTATTACAAAAAACAAATATCCTCATTGAATATTATTTTTATAAAAACAATCGAAGAAATTCGGTTTGAACCATCACATTTTCATAAAAAAAAGAAGTAAAGTATTTAATTTTGTTTTTGATTTTGAGTATATAGACGTTCGTGATATTTTGTCTATAGATTTTCAAAGTTAGATCAGTGCAAATGAAGCAGGTCATTATGTTTCTAAGTTACAATGTAACATCAGTGCAAAGCAACAATCATAATTATATATAAATAATTGAAAACACAATACTAGAAACACAATCATATTCTATTATAGAAGATATATTTAGCATTTATAAACAAAATTATTTATATTTATTTATGCCAAGGTCTTCTTTCATACAAAGTAATTTATTTCTAATATCATATAAATAAGCTTTCCGTACTAAGATTTCAGTTAAGTCAATAGTATCACGATGAAAGTAATCATCAAATGATAATCCTTTTCTTTCTCGAATATATTGAAAAAACACGTACATCGATGTACAAAGATAATTATTTTTTTTCCATCTAGTTCAATGAAATTTTGAAATACTTCAATGTTCACTTTTTATTTTTTTGCAAAGTCCTAAAATTTATTTTCTTTACATAGAAATTGCAAATATTCAATTTGAATAAAAACGATGACTGTTTGCTACCGAAAAAGACCAAGCTAATAGATTAATTACGGCAAAATAATGTAACAATATGCCGTTTTACACATCGTTTTCGACATTCGGAATCGATCACATTTTAGATATGAATAACAAATCGAATGATTTTTTTTTTCGTATAGCGACATCTATCAAAAACTCTCGAATATACTCTGTTGAAAGTTCTTTTTATCTTTGCAAATCAAGTTCAATCGCAGTAATTAGTTTTCATTTTGAGTTAAGTCTTTTTCTTTTTCATCGATATTTAAAACAAGATTACATTAAAGTTTTTATATTGGTTAATCTTTTGTTCTTTCTTCATCAATGTTCTTTGTATTATGGACAATGTCTACCTAATGAACATGCATTCCCATACAACACCGTTCTATACCGGTTTGCGTTAATGAACGTAACTCAATCATGATTGCATATGCTTTTTTTTCTCGAATTAAAAGAGAGAAAGTGAAATAATATGCCATCTAATTATTGTAAGTTTCTTATCATCAAATCATTCTTAGTAAGATCATCAAGAGTCCATCGTAGTTATTATCTCTTTCAATCATTTTATTCCTTGTTTATAATATCGAACAAAAAGTTTTGATGTTTCCTATCATCTTTTCAATATGATGTGAGTTATTACTGTATTGAAATGATCACTTTTGAGATTTGTATCTTCTCATGTGATAAAAGATATAGTGATCATGCCGTAAGTTGTCTTCATCATATTGAATGATAGAACACTTGTCTAATGAATATAAAAGACGATTTTTTTTTTTTTACATGAATTTTATAATTCTTGTTTTTTTCTAGATCTGTAATCTAGTCATTTTTTTGTTTGTTGTATTTATTTCATTTGTTTTCTTTTATCAAATGGATGCTCAATTTGAGCGTCGTCTACTTCTATCAATGAATGGTCGAAATTCTCTATCATCATATATAAGTCCAATACAATCACCAATAAAAACAAGTGATCGATATATTCCACTTCGATCTTCTCTATCAGCATCAGATCTTCATTATTCATTAAATACATCATTATTATCATCACCTATTAAAAAATGTAAATATGAATTAAATGAAATAGGTCTTAGTTCAGGTATAACAGCAAGTGAACCAGATTTACTTGTTTATGAACAATTATTACAAAATACATTATTAAATACAAATATTGATTCAATATTAAAAATTTCTGATGTACAAAATACAAATAATGATAATTTAAAAACAGTAGTAACACCTAATAAAACTTTAATTAGTAAAGAAAATTCATCAATATTTCGTTATTCTGAACGTCAAGATAATATTCCATGTAAATCAAATTTAATTACAAAACAACATTTTAATCGATCACCTATATCAAATGCATCAATACATTTACTTTATTCACCAAAACGAAAAATTCGTCATATACCTGAACTTCCATATAAAGTTTTAGATGCACCTGATTTACAAGATGATTTTTATTTAAATTTAATTGATTGGTCATCATCAAATATTCTTAGTGTAGCTTTAGGATCATGTGTTTATTTACATTATGCTCAAACAAATAATGTTCAATTGTTATGTGATCTTACACATTCACAATTACCAATATCTAATAATAATCGTGTGAATATTATTGGTTCAGATATAGTAACATCAGTTAATTGGTCAGATTGGTCAAATATATTAGCTGTTGGTAAGAAAATTATTTTCGTTCACTTTTTTTTTCAATAGTAGTTTTCGAAATATAATCATCCACACCATACATCAGACGAATAAACTAGACAAACAACGAAGTAGTGGCGTAGCCAATAATTTTCTAAGGGAGGTGCACACCAGCAGTAAAATAAATTTTTTACTCAGGCGTTTTTTTGGCC